CGACAAGTGAAGGCTCTTCTCTCTTTCATCTCATGAGCGGAATCTGAACTCATTAAGTGACATTGCCACTCCCGAAAACCGTTTTCCCGTGCTTAAGGCGTCATTGACGTCTATAATCGGAACGCGAAGTCTTGAAATCTTCGTGGAAACGTAAGGTCTTAAAACCCTCACAAAACGTGGAGTCTTAAAATCTCCAACATAAAAACTGTCATCTGCCACAGTATGAGCGGCCCGGGCCAACAGTGTCATGCCAGCATTAACTTCATGGATTTGAACGATAACGCTGATATCCAGTAGGTCTATAACTCGATACTGTTATCTCTAACACTTCCGAGCAGGGGGGCTAACTGTTGGGGTCGGATTTCACCCGCTCAACGTCAACATTCAAATCTTGACCGAACCAAGACTCTTGACGCCTAAGATAATACGGCCCCTAAGTCATCTCGCAGGATATAGCAAGTGGTCGCCTTGGGTCGCTTGGATCCACCAACGACCATCTCCGAAGATCCGACATAGAATGGCACCGATGGTCTCCCGATAAACGCCTACGACGATGCTGACATCGGGTTACTATTCACTTCGGGTTACTATTTACTTCGGGTCACTGTTCACTTCGGGTCACTGTTCACTTCGGGTCACTGTTCACTTCGGGTTACTGTTCACTTCGGGTCACTATTCACTTCGGGTTACTATTCACCTCGGGTTACTATTCACCTCGGGTTTTTATTCACTTCGGGTTACTATTCACCTCGGGTTACTATTCACTTCGGGTTACCGTTCATCTCGGGTCACGTCTCCGGCGAAGTCACCCAAGATCCGATGACATTGGACCCGAAGGTTGCAGACCCGATGACCGATGTCTACGGCGGCACGAAGAGGACTCGAGTCGATGACTTCTCAACACCCACGAAATGGCGGTGACAATCAACTGGGTAGGGCTTCACTTCCGGACCAGTTAAGACAGCAAGCCCAGTCCAGTCGCGAAGCCCACTTCGGCGAAACCGACATAGGCGAAGAGAGAATCCAAGATGACTTAGGAAAACTTAGCCGACTTAGGAACGTTATATATAGTTGATGTAAAAACCCTTGAAAAGGTATCCGCAACTTGGTTCACGAAAGCATACACAGCAATAACAAGCGTTTCTCTTTGCTCATCATCTCTCTCGTAGCTTAACTAAGAAATCTCTGCTTCCTTTCGAAACCCTTACAAATCTAATTGTGCTAGTCTTGACTCCCACAGTGATAGAGAGATATATTGGCTTGTTTGGTTATAATTTTGTTGTGTGTGTTTTATTTTTATAGGAAACGAATATACACTTAATTGTGTCAAATTGACTTGTTAAAGCATTTTAGATGTTTCATTCCTAATGCTTCAACAAAATTTATTCACCTCAACTGTTTTTCGTTATTTTATTACTTGATTTAGCTGTTTTTCGTAATCAAGACAACAAGAATTTAATCTATACAAGAAAAATAATTTTTGAAGTAAATAATAAAGATTTGTTGATTTTTTCGTTGTCTAGAATTAAAATGCAGCAACTAAATCGATATGTTGTTAAAACATAATACTCTGTTTCATAGAAAAATGACTATACTAGTTATCACATATATTTAAAAAACTATTAATGACTAAAACAATACTATTTGTGAAACATAAATGACTAGTAAAAGTGATATTTTTTGTAAAATAGAGGAAATATGTTGTTTTTTTTTTGTCAACAAGTTTTTCACTTATTTAAAATATTAAAGTACAAAAGAAGGAAATTAAGCATCCTCCAGCATTAATACAACATAATTGAAATGCGATAAAACATAAAGTAGATAGATCATCGTAGAAGATGGACAGCGGATCCAATACATGTCTCAGATGCGTCAGGAGGGTCTTCGCGGCAAAGCCGGAGAGTCTCAGGGTAATCACTTTCCATTGTGACTTTGAAGATCCCGCATATAGTTCGGAAATTCGACCACTCTCCAAGAGAGGGACGAGGGTGCGAGCAATCTCGAAGAGATGGAAGACGGTGGAATTAGACTCTTCCAATGGGAGTAGATTGCAGGATTTGAGAATCCATAAAACTTATGTCTTCTCTCAATAGAAGAGATATCATCAATAAAAACTACATAATTTGAGAATCCAGAAAACTTTATTCTTTTCAAAGACAGGAATCCAACAAGCTCATAAGCAAGTGAGATTTTTGAAAATCTGCATTTGAAAAACCTAATAAATTGGCCTATTAATTTACTAACCTTGAATTTCCTACTCGGCCGAACCCAAGTCAGTAGAAATGGGCATGTCCAGCAAAGCCCAATTTTGTAAATATTCATGGGTCCAGCCCAAGTTTGATACTTCACGGCATCCAATGTCGACATCGGGCAAGACCAACTTTGCGGCTGACTAATGTTACTGGATATGGCTCCGGTCAGTTTAAAGCGAGGCAGAGGGAGGTCCGATGTATTAATAGTGGGCGAAGCCGCCGGATCCGGTGAGGGCTTGCGGTAGTCAGAGCTGAGAGAACACGCCCGACCCAACCCTTTTTCTTCCCAGATTTGGATGCTTTAGGTGGTTACGGCTCCGTCTCCATCGACGTAGATTGAAACCACACCGCCGTAGATTGAAACCACACCGGAGAAGATGGTTCTGCGAAAAGCACCCGAGATGTTTCTAGATCCACCGGATCTTGATTCATGGTTCCGCCGTGCCGGAATATATTCGAAGGTGAAGAAAGAGCCGACAGTAAAGCAAAACTTGAAAATCNTCTTCTCCATATTTTTCGGTGAGGAGTTCAAGGAAGAGCACAATATAAAGAAGACGATAGTAATTTGGAGAGGTGAAGCGGTGGTTGCATTGCCGGCGCCCATGTGGAAAAGTCTTCGGTTTAAAACCGAGAAAATATTTGGACCAGAGATAGGATGATGACCACCCACGGTTGCCGAAGTCTTAACTCGCCGGGGAGGCAAATTAACGACACCACAAACCGTTGTGGTTTTCCTCCATATATGGTGACCGGAGAAGAAACAAAGCAAAGCCAAAACACAAAACACAGCCATAACATTCAACCAATGACCAAGGAAACTAGTAGTAAGAGCAACGATCTGACGCCGACGAGCCGCGACTTCACCGGCGTCGGAGATCTAGTCTGGATTGCTTTTCTCGATTCTTGTGCCTATGAGAGAAATGCGGCTAGGACGAACTGTTTTTGTTGTTAAAACATAATTTAAAAAAAAAAATTGAGGTGAATAATAAAATTTGGACTTCAATCTTTGTTATTAAC